GTAAAGTGCATACGGACCTGAATGTCGCAGATCTGTTGACTAAACCTCTTCCACGAGCAAAACATGATCAACACCAGAACTCTATGGGTGTTCGATTCATCACAATGTAACTATATTATTGACTCTAGTGCAAGTGGGAGACTGTTGGAAATATGCCCTAGAGGCAATAATAAAATGGTTATTATTATATGTCCTTGTTCATGATAATTGTCTATTGTTCATGCTATAATTGTGTTATCCGGAAATCGTAATACATGTGTGAATACATAGACCACAACATGTCCCTAGTGAGCCTCTAGTTGACTAGCTCGTTGATCAATAGATGATTACAGTTTCCTGACCATGGACATTGGATGTCATTGATAACGGGATCACATCATTAGGAAAATGATGTGATGGACAAGACCCAATCCTAAGCATAGCACAAGATCGTGTAGTTCGTCTGCTAAAGCTTTTCTAATGTCAAGTATCATTTCCTTAGACCATGAGATTGTGCAACTGCGGGATACCGTAGGAATGCTTTGGGTGTGCCAAACGTTACAACGTAACTGGGTGGCTATAAAGGTGCACTACGGGTATCTCCGAAAGTGTCTGTTGAGTTAGCATGAATCGAGACTGGGATTTGTCACTCCGTGTGACGGAGGGGTGTCTCTAGGCCCACTCGGTAGGACATCATCATAATGAGCTCAATGTGACCAAGGAGTTGATCACTGGATGATGTGTTACGAACAAGTAAAGAGACTTGCCGGTAACGAGATTGAACAAGGTATAGGGATACCAACGATCGAATCTCGGTCAAGTATCATACCGGTAGACAAAGGGAATTGTGTACGAGATTGATTGAATCCCCGACATCGTGGTTCATCCAATGAGATAATCGTGGAGCATGTGGGAGCCAACATGGGTATCCATATCCCGTTGTTGGTTATTGGCCGGAGAGATGTCTCGGTCATGTCTGCATGCCTCCCGAACCTGTAGGGTCTACACGCTTAAGGTTCGATGATGCTAGGGTTATAGGGAATAGATGTACGTGGTTACCGAATGTTGTTCGGAGTCCCGGATGAGATCCCGGACGTCACGAGGAGTTCCAGAATGGTCCGGAGGTAAAGATTTATATATGGGAAGTCCCGTTTTGGACACCAGAAGTGTTCTGGGCGTTATCGGTAACGTACCGGGACCACCGGAAGGGTTCGGGGGTCCACCGGGAGGGGACACCAGCCCCGGAGGCTTGCGTGGGCCAAGTGTGGGAAGGGACCAGCCCCTAGGTGGGCTGGTGCGCCTCCCACAAGAGGCCCAAGGCGCAGGGAAGGGGAGAAGGGGGAAACCCTAGGCTCAGATGGGCCTAAGGCCCACCTAGGGTGCGCCCCCCTCTCTCCCCCTCTGACCGCCCCCTAGATGCATCTAGGGCTGGCCGCCACCCCTAGGGGGGGAACCCTTGATGGGGGCGCAGCCCCCCTCCTCCCCATATATATAGTGGGGGTTTTGGGGCTGCCAGAGACACGAGTCTCCCTCTCTCTTGGCGCAGCCCTACCCCTCTCCCTCCTTGTCTCTCGCAGTGCTTGGCGAAGCCCTGCTAGAGTGTCACGCTCCTCCACCACCACCACGCCGTCGTGCTGCTGCTGGACGGAGTCTTCCCCAACCTCTCCCTCTCTCCTTGCTGGATCAAGGCACGGGAGACGTCACCGGGTTGCACGTGTGTTGAACGCGGAGGCACCATTATTCGGTGCTTAGATCGGATTCAGCCGCGATCTGAATTGCTTCGTGTACGACTCCACCGACCGCGTTCTTGCAACGCTTCCGCATCGCGATCTTCAAGGGTATGAAGATGCACTCCCCTCTCTCTCGTTGCTAGTTTCTCCATAGATTGATCTTAGTGATGCGTATAATTTTTTTAAATTTCTGCAACGATCCCCAACAATGATACCATCCAGTTTTTGCAGTGTTGAAATATGGCTGCATTCATCCTAAAATATTGCTAGGTTCCTGGTATTTATGGCGGCAGAGGAGAAAGTTAGTGCATAATTAAAAGGTCCAGAAACCTAATTTCAAATTTCATAGCAATAGCAATCAGAGCTTGGGTTGCTAACTATACTATGGCAAGTGATGCAAAGTCGACGATCAAGCGACATGGCTGAGAAAGACAAAGGAGCAACTATGTGAAGCTGAACGTGGATGGGGCTTTTGACCCAGACTTACTCACAGGCTGGTATGGCGTTGTCACCGGAGACTCGAATGGCTGATTCGTCGTGGTAGGAAACGAGAAAATCGATTGGTGCAAAGATGCGCTTATGGCCGAGGCACTAGCCTTATGGTTTGATCTCATTTTGTTAACTATAGTCGGGTGCAACCACATAGAGAAGAACTCCGACAACATCGAGGTGATAGAGACAATGAAGAATGGATGTCGCTCCTTCGGTCTATCGGTGGTAATTTCTGATGATATACATCATCTTGCGTGTGATTTCCCGCATATTATTTTTGAGCATGCTCCTATAGAGACTAATTGTGCTGCCCATGATTTAGACTAGCTAGAATTAAGGTGTGCGCCGGTGGATGGAAGATCCACCTGTATAGATAGTTGATACGCTTGTGAAAGATAATATGGTGGCCACCTTGCAATAAAGAGTACTTTGGTGTGAAAATGGTCATAATTTTCGAAAGGAGAATTACCCCCGACCGCGTCAATTGATGTATACAACCATCTTTATTACTCCCTCTGCGAAGAAACATAAGAGCGCTTAGATCGTGTATATTTATTTACGGAGGTGGTATTATTCAGCATAGTCTGACAGCATGAATACATGGATCAACCCGAAGCCTCCTAGCTGGCGCACAAGTCGCAGCACCTACACTCTTGATAATGTGCCCGAACCGCATGAACATGCACGATCTAATCCGGTGGCCTCACACCTGCCCCGCATCGGGTAGAGAGCACCATCCGGTCTGGCCGACACGCAGCGCGCACTGCATGCGCACGCTTTAGATGTGCCGCCACCATCTTCCACCATCCCACCTTCAGAAACGATCAACACATTCACCTCGCCAAGCCGTACTGCTGTCGACGCCAGATAGTGTCACCCTCCTACACGCATCCATCCACACGCACTCGTCGCCAAAACTCCGCCGCCGAGACCCGCCGTCGCCCTTGCGGTAGATGAGACACCACTCTTCCTCTCGTCTCCTCCAGCCAGCTCATGCCCCAAAACGATGCCCCCGGAGGGAAAACGGCAGCGAAGATGTTGTCATCGTCCGATCCGGAAAATCCAGATCTAAGGTTTCCCCTGGAGCAATCCAAGCATTGTGTCGCAACCTGCAACGACGATGCCTCGAGAAGGAAACGACGTCACAGACGTCACCATTATCCCGATCTCGCGGCTGACTGGAACCGCACGGAGCCTCGCAGTGAAGACAAATGCCGCCGTCAGCACGCAGGCAGGGAGCCTCTAATCGCCCCTCACCGGACCCTCCTGCAAAGTCCAAACTATTTTTTGAACCGCGAAGATGGCGGGAAATCCACGTGTTGTCGTGCCTACGTGCCACAGATCGTCATCGGCCCGAACCGAGCACACGTTTGAGTTTTCGTGGAGTGGCAAATCTTCAAGTCGGCCACACGCGGAAGTTCGTGCGTGCTCCGTGAATTTGAGGCACGCGCTTGAGCGTGCCGTGTGTTCGAGGAAACGGAAAGATGGACACCGGAGATATGGCAATGCTAGCCATTGGTTGCTGTACGTAGCTCCGTACGTGCTCCAGCCGTCTCGATCTGTACTCCAACAAGTACGTATTCCGTTGTCCTTGTCCGTTGTCAAACATGAGGTAGCCTGCCCGATATGCCAGGCCAAGTCCGCCGGTGGCACTTCTCCACGGCACATGACACGAGCTAAACACACCGTCGTCGTCCTTCCAACCTGCAGCAAGCTTCGTTCAGGGTTCTGATGAACAAGGAAAGCACGTAGTACAAGTAACTTTTGCGCAGAAACACAATCCAAATCCCAGCTAAAGCGAAGATTTCATTTCCGACCGCGGGCTCGGGCCCAGCCTGCAGTCGATCCCCAAAGCATATGATCATCTTGCAATGCATAATTGGCCTTTTGATGGACAAAGCGGCCATCGCCAAGCTGCCACATACGGTCGATGCGTCCATGAGTGGCCAAAAGCTGCCACTTACGGAGGAACTCACCCCGCCATGGGAGGCTGGGCGGATCCATTTGGTGCCGGCCACATTAACTAGTGGTAAGCACAGCAGCTGATGCTGCCAGTATTCAACTGTCCCCAATTGTGGTTAGTAGGAGTAACTAACAAACAGCTTGGCCATTAATCTACAGTGGAAATGTCAGCTCCTGTGTTGTTCAGGGCAGCCCACAGAGAGCATGTGGCCAACCACCGTCGCCAGACGCCAAAGCGCCAAACAGGCACACAGAGCTTAGGTATCGTGGGCGTCAAAGTTTTAAACTCTCTTCGCAGCGCCGACGCGAATCTGCTCAACGAGCTTCCAGCCCAAAAGGCTCTCATCAGACGACTGATTCCATCCCACCACCTGCGGCCGCTGCTTGCAGGTGCGCCCGCAGCCGGCACCGTGCTTATGATTGAGAACTCGGCGCCAAGAATTGCAAGAACACAGCACAGAGAAACGCCATCACCCATGAGAGGCCATGAGCATGGACGAGATCGATGCACAGGTGCATTAGTACATGGCAATGGCATCATCTCTTGTATGGATGTAGTATTAGCTACTCGTGTTGTGAACTTCTTTCATGCATCTTAATCAGGTGCAAACGTATCAAGAGAAAGAAAGAAAAAAAGGCAGTCTCACTCTCACTAACAGACCCTGACGAGAAACCCTGAAAATGTACACGGACACGCTCCGATCGACGGAGCCGCTTCAGAAGCGATCCAACACAGATGTGGCAGCAACCCATGTGACGCGAGCTAGATTAATCTGTCGAGGCCCGGTGGACGCCGAAAATACAGAAGATCCACCGAGGGCTATGCATGGCCGGGCATCAGCTCGCGGCCTCGTCGATGCTGTGCAGCGAGGGCCGCCATTGCCGGTGCCGGGCGCCGGAGCTCCGATGGCCGTCTCCTCCGTCCTGCCGCGCCAACTGCAATCAGGTGTAGAGTAGTCAGAAGGTGGAACATTTGCATGTTGCCGCGGTTCAGAACGGGAGCAGAAGAAGGGATCTCGCAGACGATTCTTTGCTCCTGCCACTAGCCGCGACTCTTCAGTATTTTATTTATCATCATGAATTCATGATTCTTTTATCATTCTGCATCCCTCTATTTTAAGCATTAAATTCCCTTGTGGACGGTACGATGGCATCAATCAGTTGGATCCACAGGACCACACCTACAATCTTGTTTTATGCGTGTCAATTGGGGATTGAGAATTGTCAGTGTCAGGTACTCCAAACTGATTCTCTCCTTTGAGCTAAAGGTTAACCAGATTTCTGTGAAAACTTTGCAGATTTTGCAGCCGCGAAAAATCTAATGGCAATTACCCAGAGAAAATTCATCTTCTCGGTAAGCTGATGACCTACAGTGTTGCATGTGGACGAACTGAGGAAGACATGAGAATCGCGAGGAACAACTAACTAGCAACCCTTGCAGAGAAGGCAATTAAAGGCGCATCAATCATGCAGAGAACGTGCATGGCGGCATCGAGGGGGAGAGAGAGAAAAGTAGTTGGATTGAATAGAGCTAAGTCCATGTAACCACCTGATCGAGACTCTCATCCAAGCTGGCCTCGTCGTCGTCGTCGTCGACGTCGTCACCGTCCGCCGCCGGCCGCAGCTTGCTCTGCCGCGTCGACAACTCCAGCTGCTGCAGCTGCTGCCGCGCCTTCCTCAGCTTCTCCTCCTTCCTCGCCTGCACCGCCTTGGTCACCTCTGCACGCACCATTTTTCCATGCCATGTTAGCAGTGGGCACAGCTTGCAGGAGAAGAGGCAGAGGACGAGAACCGGAGACTCGAAGCTTACCGTTGGCGGTGATGAGGCGGTAGGCGTGGCCGAGGAGCAGCGTCTCCTTGGGCTTGAGGAGCTTGACGCGGGTGAGGCGCACGGTGCGGCGCGCGCCGCCGCCGTCGGCGTCCTGGCGCTCCTCGGCGACGCGGAGCGTGACGAGCGCGACGTAGTGGCCCGGGTTGGCGCGCATCACCTCCGCCGCGGGCGTGGACCAGTAGAGCCGCTCCACCCGCCCGCCCGGGTGCTGCACCACCGCCGCCGCCACCTCCGCCGCCTGGCAGTTCCCCATCCTCGCCCGCTCCGGCCCGCCGCAGCCACACACACACACACACACACGCTCCCCGTGACCAGAGCTGGGCGCTGGTCCTGGCTTAGCCTACCCTGTGCCGGCCGGGAAACGTGGGCGAGGGAGAGCGCGAGCAAGTGGCGAGCGTGTGGTGCACCAGTGCTTTATAAAGAGGAGAGAGAGCAACGGCTCGGTTGCCGAGGTGGTGCCGTGGTGGTGGTACATATCCCGCCCCGGTGACCGGTTCGTTTTCAACCGTCGCGAGCACCACGTGAACGGACGCTGTCAGGTACTGCATTTCACTTTTGGGTGCACCGCTCGTCGGAGACGTAAGTCTGCGGCCGGCGTAGCAAACGGCGAGAGACGGAGACCGGCGGCATCTACAAAACGATTGCTTTTCGTGGGCCGTCGTGTACGGTGGAGATCGGTCGAATTAACCAGTTTTTGTTTTTATCTATCTAGCTACTTTTTTTAACATCAGTACAAACACAAGCGCTCATATACACGCGCATACACTCACCCCTATGAATGAACATGCGCACACCCTATCCCTATGAGCTTCTTCAAAACACCGAGCCAACATATCATCTTAAAATGCGAGCACCAGGATTTGAACCTTAATGGGCTGGGATACCACAGTCTCTCTAACCATCCAACCACAACTTGATTCGCTCTATCTATCTACTAGTTGTACTTACTAAAACTACGACAATTAATATGAACCGGAGGAAGTACTATCTATCCACTACCCCTAAAACCGAAGGAATATCTATCTACCTGTCTCCCCGAATTAATTGAAATTCTATGCACTCATCAAGCAAAAGATTTTTTTTCGATCAAGCAAAAAGTTGCTGGTTTCGCCGAGCTGATCTCGACGCCGGGCCTACGCACGCACCTCGCTAAATTGCTTGGCACTCGTACGTGCAATTTGTGCTGGCCGTGCACTAAACTTGAAGCAAAAAGTTGCGCTCCGGCAGTGCGAATTTTGTTGCCGTTCACCTGTAGGAGAATTTTAAGTTCCCATCACAACAGCAAGAACTGAACGCACGACGCACCGAATGACGTTAGTGGGAGCGCAAACTATAGGTGTATGGTGCAACCGGAAGTCCACTCTCAAGCATGAGCCCCTTGCAGTTGCATTTCCGAACTAACCCATTCATGAATGCCACGGAGAGGCCCCGTGATAAACGCCACATATCGTGGCTCAATATGCATACTCAACTCATCTGCCTTTGTATCACTATTCTATGATGGCTTGCTAAGCTCGTCATCATTCTTCCTCCCCTGGTGACGCGAGGGATGGGCTTCTAAATTCGGGTGACAATTCCCCTGCCCAGCTTCCAACCAGCATCGCCCTGGAAACAAGCCAGTCCAACCCAATATCTTATGCAGGACTGTTCCCGGCAGGCATCACTTCTCTTTGAAGAAAGAGGAGAAAATAGTGATGGGCGCCTTTTATAATAGACACAAATGCCGGTTGCTGGAGAGAAGGAAATGTAATCCGCACAGATGCGGCTGGCCATCGGACTCGTCAACTCGTCATCGGTTTCCTTACGGCTAGGGCAACCGTTAATTAAGCCGCTCCTGTGTGCTTATTTCGTCTGCTTAGTGTGGTGGCGCAATTGGTGTTCACGTCTGCGGCGGCGCGGTCAACACCGCGCCGGCGAGGAAGCTGTCACGGCGGGTCGGGCGTCCGCGTCGACCTGCGCGGCGTCGGGATCAGGGTCGCGTAGCCCCGCGGGGCGGGAATTTATGAGGCCATGTGCGCCACTCGCTGCCCTGCCCGAGTCGGCGTCTCGCCCTCGGCTCCATGGCGTCCGCCGTTTGTGTGTACTGAGGTTGATCGATCGGACTCGGGCGCGGCGGTGCGTGGCGTACGAAGAAATTCGTTGCCCATGTGTGTGAGCACAGGGGGGAGGCGGTGATAGACTGTTGTGCGCACGGGAAAGTCGCCTCTCCAGTAGATTTCCGACGCCGACGTGACCGTGTGAGGTGAGCGAGGCCATGTCCCGTCCGCATCGCCTCGTCGAGGATTCAATTCAAGGATACCGGCCGGCCCCGAGCGCCGGAAACCGGCCGTAAATCCTGCGCCGCCGCGCCGCTGGTTTTCACATGCGTGCCTCGGCGGGTGAAGTGAACGAGATGCTATGCCGGCTCCGGTCGACGTTGCTCGGGATCTCGGGTGGACGTTTGGGTGCGCAGTCGACGATTCGGGGAAGGAAAACGACGGGTTCGAACCGATGCTTTCGCCGCGCGGGAATCCTACGGTGCGGCGTACGGCTCGTCTTCTCGTGGCAAGTTGTGTGCGTGATGCTACGTGCATGTCGCGGTCGTACGTGTCTTGAGCTTGACCATGGCGAGCGATGAAGTTCACGGGCGCGATGGCGCCATGGATGGATGGATGGATGGATGTATGGGCCAGCTGAGCCTGCAGGCCCACCCGAAATCATCTCCCCAATAATGCGTACAGCGTACCTACTGTGGTATAGCAGCAGTACCCGTATGCACCTGACCTGACCCGACCCTGACCGTATGTTTATCCATACAGTAGTGTATAGGGCTCGTTTCCCTAGCTTCCACGAACCATGCTCGCCACGAGATCCAAAGCCTGACACTCTGCCAGGAGATTGTATTAGTATACTAGTAGAAGCTCATGCACACTGCAGTGTACATACTGTACCAACACACAGCTCACTCTTGACTCTGAAGTATGGTGCAACCAAATTACAGTGGACTGCTATAGCTGTAGCATTTGCCGTATCCACTTATTTTCAGCTGTTTACCGAACCCTACCAGCCTCATCATCGCCGCCGGTGGCCTTTTCCGCCTGATCGTTGTCAGTGTGAGCCACACCACACCCGTGCCCGTGCAGCGACGATTGGTGGCACCTGGGGCGGCTACTCTGTCAGGTTCCACCGGGGTCATCAGCAGAGCACCTCCTAGCTGTCGAACTTTGGACGGAGCCACGGAGGCAATGATCACTGCCGGGATGGTCCTCTTCGTTCGTTGGTCGCTTCCTGCTGCTTGCCCGTTTCCTCCCTTCGTTTCATACTTGCCGTTTCCACGGGTAAAACTGTCGACACCGTTTTGTTTTGGTGTTGTTTTAGCACAAGCGGTTCACATTATTTGGCCTTGTGGAGACTGATGAAGCCTTCTTCAGCCCCTTCGAGGGATGCAAATGAATACAACACAGCTTTGCATATTTGTGGATCGTAATGGTCTAGAAGATTTGGTAGTACCATAAGCAACGCCAACATGTATTTCGTAGGTAGACAACTGGTGCGCATGATTTCACATGGGAGAGTGCGATGCTTGTTATAATTTAGCAATGGAAGCCCAATGCTTCTTTTCTCGAGGAATATATATGTCGCTCCGGGGAGTGATTCCGAGGACACAGCTACGCAACAAACAATTGAGGCATACAATCATGCGCCGGGGGATCTCAAAATGCCATAAGTTGCAATACTTCAGTCCATGGCATCACATGGAGTGCTATATACGTATATTAAACAAAATCGCGAGCGCCGACCTTTAACACCCAAAAGTAAATGTTGAGAATCTAATCTAATCACTCTACTACAAATAATCGATGCAATAATGCATAGAAATATATGGAGGTTGTAAAGCCACGGATGCAGAAAAAGAAAAAGAGAGAGTCCTTGTGAGAAGAATGCTCCCAAAGAGAAAGTCCTGATCAGACGCCGGCAACGGAATAAGTGAGTACATGAATTCTCAATCTCAAAATGAACTTGGGGCGAGGCGTTTCATCTATGAGAGATTAATGATTCCCATTAAAATCACCGGGAACGGGTCCAAGGTACCAGGCAACACCTGAAATGTTAGCGTTGATAGGCAAGTCTGTGGATTGTGGCTATGTTGCTAGGTTGTTCCCATATGCTGCAAGCGCTTTTATATGTTGGCTACGCATAGGCCGATAGGCGTCATGTTGCAACAATTTTGGTTGCACTCCAGTGGGGGTGTTTTTCATGTTGCAAGTGTTTTGGCGTTTTGACAAGTTTTAAAAACTTTATCAAGTTTGAACTATTGATAAAACAAAGGATACATTCATCAAGTTTCAGATACTAAAATGCTGTGCGTCACGAGGGTGATAATATTGCCAGGGTTTTGGAATCATCTCCGCCAAATGTGACGTTTGGAAGGGATTTAATTGGACCTAGACTCCAATCGTGGAACATACTACTCTAAGGATTAACCATGGTACAATTGTCACATGGGTCCGATGTATTTTGTTGGAACCTACATGGGAATGGGCAATTCTCAGTGGAGTATGTGTATAGAGCTTTGATCCAGTCTGACGTGCCAGTTGATAATAATAAGATCTGGAAGATGAAGATACCTCTTAAGAATATAATCTTTGCATGATATCTTTGTCGCGGAGTCATTCTTACTAAACATAACCTTATTAAGAGGAATTCACATGGAAGTACGCAATGTGTATTTTGTCCGCATGATGAGACAATAAAACATTTGTTCTTCCAATGTAAATTGGCTCGTTCTATGTGGTCAGTCATCCAAATAGCTTATGACTTGTATCCTCTTTGTAGTGTTGCTAATATATTTGCCAACTGGTTACATAGGATTGATCATAGGTTTAGTGATGCGGAGCATCCCACGACCATCCCCATGGACGCCACCTCAACTATCCAAGCTCCAAGTGGACCAATGACAAGGGCTAGGGCACGTGCTATTCAATCCGAGGTGACATCACTCCTACTTGAGTTTTCCCCCTCTTCAAGTGAGACATGGCTACTGCCTAAGTCCGAGATACTATGTGTCATCAGGTACAACGCTCAAGACTCGGAGCCGAGGACTGTAGAAGAAGAGACATGCGTCAACACTCTTGACAGCCCGGAACTTCCGGCCCCCGGACCTTCCGGCCGACCCGGAGCTTCCGGCCGCCGAGGACTTCGACCGGCCCAGGCGTGCCAACTCTCGGGTTAGCCCGGACCCCGTCCCGGACCTTCCGGCCCCCGGATGCCAGC